GGCTAGGGCCCCGGCAGCCTGCACTGTTCTTCCCTCCCCAGCCAGAACTCTGCAGGCAAGGCTCCCTTTCCCCTGCCTGGCTAGAAGAGCCTCGCGCCCCTGGACTGCAGGCCCGGAGAGCCTTCCCAGTGGGCCCGGGAGGCAGGCAGCGCTGCCCAGCACGCAGGACGCCCCGGCCCCTTTCGCAGACGGTGTTTCTCTGTTTCCCCTGCAGCTCAGCGGCTCGGACGACTGCAGCTGTGAGGACGGGGACGAGGCCTCCTGCAAGAAAAGGAGCAAAAACTTGTAAGTGCCCCCGGGGGGGAGACCTGCCTCCCCTCGGCTCTGCGCCCTCTGCCTGTGTCTGAAATAACAGGGCTGTGCTTGCTTGCCCCCGGGAACACCGGGCCACAGCAATCGGACTCACTGCAGATTGAGGATCCTAGACTCAGAGAAGACTAGGGCTGGAAGGGACCTCAGGAGGTCACCGGTCCAACCCCGCTGGAGCTGAGGTCTGGCTGGCCTCAAAGGAAACTGGGCTCCCCTCCCCCCGGTCTGGGAGGCAGCGTGCAGGGAAGGCCGACGTTAGGGGTTCCTGGGGCAGGCAGGATTCCCTGGGCTGCAGAGAAGTGGGGGTCACAAAGGGCATTTCTATTAGAGGGACACTTCAGCCGGGGCCTCCTTCCTGCTGGCCCCTGCCGCGGGGAGGAGCAGAGATGCTTGCAGCAGCTGCTGCTGGTTAACTCCAGGCCCTGCTAAGGGCTCCCAGAAGCGAGTCCTCTGCCCGGCAGAAGAACCAGGCCAGGGAGGGAAGCAAAGCCGGATGGTTCTTTCTATCCGCTCAGAGTTGGTCTGTGCTGACCTTTGGCTGAGTCTAGACTGGGCTGAACCCCCCACCCCCTTTCCTGGAGGTTGGCTGTAAGTGTGACACGCCCCTTGGCCACAGGTCTAGTCTGGCCATGTGCGGACAAACTCCAGTGTGGAGAGAAGCCCGGGAAGCACCTAAGTCCCTCACGGGTCCCAGCTGTGTGAAAACTGCCTCCCTGCTGAAAGCACAGATGTGGCCAGATGTGCACGTCCTAGCAGCAGGCCTGGCACATGGGCTCTGCCCTCCCTGGGCAGCCCACAAACCCTGGGGCTATGTCTACACTCGCGGCTTCTTGAGCGAGAAATATGCAAATGAGGCTAAGTGGGGAATAGCGCTGAGCCTCATTTGCATACCTAATGAGCTGCCATTTTTGCAGAAGAGGCTGTTGGGCCAGGAGCGGTCTACACGGGCCCTTCTTGCGCAAGAGAAACCCTCCTGCGCTACGTCACCACGCGGATTATTTTCAGGAAGACCCGCGCAGGAGGTCCCGTGTTTGTCTCGGGTTTCCGGAGGTGGCCTCCCTGGGGCAGGCTGTCCCGGCAGCAAATTGTGCTTGTGACTGGCCCTTCCTGTGCCTGAAGCCCCTCGGTTGATCCCGCCTGGGTGCTGGGCTCCCATGATCTGCCTTGGCCTTAGGAGAGTCGGTGCGGAGACCTCCGTGCAGAGCTGGTGTGGGCACCGGGCTGGTTCAGCTCGCCTGGGCTTTTCTGCACCCAGCACTTGGGCTGTGGGTGGCCTGGGCAAGGCCGGGTGTTCACACTCGTGTGCGTTTAAGGTGTGGCCCTGTAACAGCCCATCTCTGGGGTGCAGTCACAGAAGCCCCCTTGGGCTTGTTCCCCGATGTGTGGATCCTGCCGCTGACACCCTCCTTCCTGCTCTCGGGGGCTCCCCACCCCCTGTCCTGCTGGGCCAGGTCCTCTGGTCTCCAGACAGGGCACAGAGTTGGGGTAACCCGGAAGAGCAACAGACACTGAACCACTTCAGCTCTGGGAGGACTCAGTTCTAGGGCACAGCACCCAGGAACCCAACCCCCAAAAGATCAAAGCCCCAAATCAATCCGCCTATCTCTGTGTAAGAGTTTTACACAAGGAAAGTTCATGAGGACGTTCACCCTCTTGGTCAATGAAAGAGAGAGATGCGCACTGGTTGCTCCCCCACAGGTAACCATGATTTACACTGGGCCTGATAGTAAACAAAAGTGTTTTTATTACAGACAGATCAAAGTAAGTTACTAAGTTAAAATGAAAAAAAAAATGCAGAACGGGTGCTAATTCACTGAAAAAACGTACTGCAGGCACATTCTTACCCTACCGAGCTGTTCCCATTTGAGGGATGGTTTTCAAGTCACAGCTGATTTTTTACTCTGACTTGGATCTCCAGGCTGATGGTATCCCCTTGCTTAAATCGTCCTTCCCCCAGGGCGGCAACCTTTTGTTCTACCTCCTCCCCCTTCTGTGGAAAACTCCCAGGGTCAAAATGAAATGCCGGCATGAGGTGGGGTAGTCACATGTCTTACTCTTCCAATCACTTTTGGACGCGCAGGACAAACAAGTCTGTTTTCAAGTCATTAAGTTGATTGCCAAGTCGTTAAAACTTTTGGGGGCGGGGCACCAGTAATGTCTCTAGCACATTTTAAACTATAAACTGTCTCATGCTTTATAGTGCTAACTTTTCGTGCACGAATGATACATAGGCTCTACAGGTCTAGCAGGCTGCAACATTAAAACTGATCAGTTACATGAGGTGTTTTTTCCAAAGCATCTCTGCATCTCCTAGTTATGCATATTTACATTCATATGGAAAACTTCATAAAGCGTGTGTGTGTGCGTGTGTGTGTGTGTGTGTGTGTGGTTGCTGGGGGCCGTGGGGGGCACGGGCACTGAGAGATGGGGTGAGGGGGCTGCTGTGAGGTGCTGAGATGCCCAGGCTGTGAGAATCGTGGTGGCAGGTCAGTTTCAGGCGTGCTGGCCTGTCATTCCCCAGGATAGCCAGGGCATGGCTGCTGCTAGGCCCTGGGGGGCTGACCAGTATCGCTGGCCCCCAAACCCAAGGGAAGGGTTTTCTTACAAGCTGCCCTTTCTGCTGCTACTGGCCAGAAAGCGAGCTCTCCACTGAGGGCCGGGTCGCTCAGGTCGGTGGCTCTCGCCCACTGGTGCGGGACGGTCAGGGCTGGGGCTGTTGTTGGGTTGTGAGGAGGAGCAAGGCAAATGAAAGGACAGTCGTCTCTGGCAGTCAGTGCAGGTGGAATCGTGGCCGGCGGGCCGGAGCGCTAGCAAAGGGATGGGGAGCTGTCTGGGCTGCACGGTCTCAGGCAGGAGACACGGGGCTGTGTCTAGCAGAGCTTTGCCCTGTGCTGCTAGCTCGGCATTTGCATGTGCGCTCTCGCCCAGAGCAGGCTCCCCTCCCGAGTGCCGGGCCCGGCCAGGCTGCAAGGGCCGATTCTGCAGGGGAACAGCCGCTGAGTTGCTAAGTTAAGACCATGGCTACAGTTGTGGGTTGGAGCTAGGCAGGGCTGTGTGGCCCCCCCCTGGGAA